CCCAAATGACCAAGAGGTTGTGGGATTAAATCCCACCCCCACCATTTCTTGCAATATTCTCCCATACAAAAAAAAACACTGTTACAAAAAAAAATCCACCGGCAGCCACCACACCGGTGGCAGGCGCCCGGCGGCGGCTGCTGGTTGCCGGCGGCCGGCCGCCGGTGAGGGGCTGAGTTTTTTTTAAAAAAAAAAAAGACAAAGGACATTTTTGTCATTTCACTGAATTTCAAAATTCCAATTTGGGAAGGACTTCCCTCTCTGTCCTTAGATTTCCTTAGCTTCACAAACTGGAATTTCATGAATTCCACTTTCTTTATCTGTCATTTTCTCAAATAGATTGGGGTTTTACATTTAGAATCAAATTATATGTCAAACTAGTTTTTTATATAATAATATTAATTATAAATAAATGTAAAAATATTTACGCATGGCCTATGATATTGAAACATTGAAGCTAGCTTCCGTCTTTCCATTGGGGGATTTTTATCAAAATGCTACACACAGTAAAATAAATTACCATGATGCTATACTATGAAAAGTATTTCCCTAAATGCTACACTCAAACTCGTTCACCACAAGAACGAATTCAAATTTTCAAAGAAGTCGTTCAAGGAAAGAACGAGTTTCATGTCTGATAATTTTTTTTTTAACAAGATCGAAACTCGTTCAAGGCATGAACGAGTTTAGCCTGTCATAGCGTTTGAGTCCGCTTCTTCTTTTCCTCTTTCATTTCAGCAAAATTTACAAACAAAGACCCATACCACCAACACATTCTTCCTTTTTCTTTAGACTTCGGAGAGAATTGCAATTAATGACCCAACTCCTCCCCAACCACCGCTTTCGTTTTTTTCCTTTGCCCTTCGGTCTATATTTCCAAAAAATATGAATCAATTTAACTTTACATCCTAATAATTAAATTTTTAAAAAATATATAAAATAAATTTATTGAATATAAATTATTTATCAATATGATATAATATATGCAAAATTTACGCCTATTTAATATAGTCATTGGACAGATTGAAGGTCAAAGATTATAAGGGAATGAGTGGTGTTAAAATTTATTAAAATTAAACACAAATAATTATGTACAACTGCCTTGTAGCATTCTTGTATATAAAATTTTTTTTACAGAAATTATGTACATTTACAAATATTAGAAAAAACTTAGAAATTGATACTGGCTAAAATGATATCTTGCAAACAAATATTTACAATATACACTCAGATGCCGCATGCATCAAGACAGCCTTGTCATGATTTAATGACCATTTATTTATATTAATAATTCAAGCACGTTTAATTTGTAGCTGATGGACAAATTCAAAGTTAGATTATGAATATTGTTAAAATTTATACCCCTATTTAATAATTACACATCTAAAAGTGATATATTTTGATTTATCATATATCTAAACAGGTTGCAATATGCTAAATTAAACTGAATTTTTTAAAAAGAATTCAAATATAAATTATAATATTATTTCAATAAACTTATGTTTGGTTAAATTTAAACTTGCAAATTTTAAACCAAACACTTGCATGTTATGTTTTTTTCCCATAAATTGTTCCATAAATGTACATAATTTCTGTTAAAAAAATTTTTATATACAAGAATGCTACAAGACGGTTGTACATAATTATTTGTGTTTAATTTTAATAAATTTTAACACCACTCATTCCCTCATAATCTTTGACCTTCAATCTGTCTAATGACTATATTAAATAGGCGTAAATTTTGCATATATTATATCATATTGATAAATAATTTATATTCAATAAATTTATTTTATATATTTTTTAAAATTTAATTATTAGGATGTAAAGTAAAATTGATTCATATTTTTTGGAAATATAGACCGAAGGGCAAAGGAAAAAAATGAAAGCGGTGGTTGGGGAGGAGTTGGGTCATTAATTGCAATTCTCTTCGAAGTCTAAAGAAAAAGGAAGAATGTGTTGGTGGTATGGGTCTTTGTTTGTAAATTTTGCTGAAATGAAAGAGGAAAAGAAGAAGCGGACTCAAACGCTATGACAGGCTAAACTCGTTCATGCCTTGAACGAGTTTCGATCTTGTTAAAAAAAAAAAATTATCAGACATGAAACTCGTTCTTCCCTTGAACGACTTCTTTGAAAATTTGAACTCATTCTTGTGGTGAACGAGTTTGAGTGTAGCATTTAGGGAAATACTTTTCATAGTGTAGCATCATAGTAATTTATTTTACTGTGTGTAGCATTTTGATAAAAATCCCTCCTATTGGCTTCCATGTCAACGCCACACTGATCCCCGTAGGCTATCCGCTTCCTGTTTCCTTCGTACCCACAATTTTGGTCAACGCACTCTCAGTCATTGAATGTTTTATCCGATGATTGAGATTTAACAATATTATTATAATATGAAATAATAAAAATATATATAAATAAATTTAACTACACAATTTAAAAGTGCAGACTGCAAAGGATAAAAAATAATAAAATAGTCATAAAATATTTTAATAAAAATCTTCAAGGGTGATGTATGTAGATTAATTTCTGACAGCTTAAATATATGCGTGTGTTATTAAATTAATAATATAATAATATTGCTCTAACATATTAAATCTCCACTGCTACATGATGATCTAATAATAAAATCAGTAAGTGGAGAGAAAAAATTAAATGTAAACTTTTTTTTTTTAAAGTTACTGGTGTCAATCAATTTTCACCTCGATTTCTCTAATAAGTATATCTTCTTTGGATTTATATTTATTTCTATTTTTCTCTACGTAAATGAGAGAAAAAGAATGATATCTTTATTTTAGTTTTGAATCTAATTATGAGGCTCATAGCTATATATAGGGATTAATCTGCAGAAAAGTCATATGTCCAAATTAAAAAAAATGTAGTTTTAATCCTTCAACTTCAGACAATATTTGATTTTGATATCTTTTGATCATTTTTTCTATTTTTTTACTATTAATGCCATTAACCCAAAAAATACTTATATTAAAATTGTAGATGTTGACAATATTGTATATCAAATGATGATGTATGAAGTTTGATTTTTAAAATAACAGTGATTATTTCAACAAAATCAATATCTAAGACTCATGATGTTGAGATTAAATGGCTGAAAAGATACTTTTTAAAATTAAAAAACCAAATAGAAATATTATTGTACTACCTCTAGTCCTAAATATAAGGGTTAGTTAAAAGTTCTAAATATAATATTCTAATTCATTTTGTCTCATAAATTTATAATATGCTCTTAAAAATATCCTATTGATTGTAAGGTATTTTTACCTAGGTGTGATTCCAACATACATGATTGAATAAGACTAATTTATTACAAATAATTAACTTAATTAATTTTCTTAATCTCTCTAAATTAGTTATCTAGCTTTTATAGGAAAGACATGTAGTATAAAATTAGAGTATCAAATGTTAAATTTTGCCACCAAAATTTTACATCATACACAGACACACATGTATAAAAACATTTTCCACCGTCATGCAAATCGCTGCCCATGGAATGGAATGTGTCAAGGAGCCACTAGATCAGATTTTCAATTCATTGTCATTATAAATTATTGGCCATTTCGTTTTCCTAATTACGTTATATATAAGTGGGAAAAGAAAAGGGATTACCTTCCCTTTCACCATGCAAGCAAATTGCAGTAGAGTATTTCTAAGCAATTCAGTCGATGGTATAATCACAAAACGCGAAAATATATAACAGAAATTAAACTACATACTACTTCCAGTCCTAATTATAAGACCTCATTTATAGACTATAAACAAGGTTTTATAATTAGGACCGTAGGTAGTATAATTTTCTGGGGACTACAAATAAGTTCTTATAATTAGGACCCTAGTTAGTATAATTTTCAGGGGCTATTTAAGATCTAGCCACTCAAATTTTCTCTCCTATCAAACAATAACCACAAAATTAAAATTTTTTATGCTTAGGAAGAAAAATGATGGTGAAAAAAGCTTACGTTGTGGTCTTGATTTTATCCCTTCTCATTATATTAACCCCAACAAAAATATACCTATAAATTTACAAAATATTTTTTAAGTCCTTTATTTCGAACACCATTAACAAAACAATGCTAATATTGCTAATTTTAGATGATATTAACAAAATATTGTACAGCAAATATTGATACATCAAGTTTAATTTTCAAAATAAAAACACATTAAAAACCAACATCTAAGACTAATGATATTAAGGTTAAAGATTGCAAAGATACTTTTTAAAATTAAAGAGCCAAACTAAAATTTTACATAAAGTTAAAAGTACCATATGTATAATTTTCCATCAAAACTTATGTACTACTACAAAAAAGAGCTTTCAAACCTTCATGAAAAGTCACACCACGGTGGTTATTGATATAACCGCCGTGAAAAGTTACACACCATGGTAGTTTTTAAATGACCGTGAAATCTTTTACATTTTACGTCGATAGCATGGACATTGGTCTCAAAACTACCGTGAAAAATTCATTTTAACTGCCGTTAAATGTTTTTTTTTGTAGTAGTGATGTATCATACATATACATAGACACACATGCATATATTAAACATCCGCCCCCCCATGCAAATCGCTGCCCATGGAATGGTACCGGTGTCAAGGAACTGCTAAAATCAAGACTTTGAATTTATTGTCATTATAAACAATTGGTCATCTTGTTTTCCTAATTACGTTTATTTAGTTTAATAACAACATTATAGATATGGTTAGAACAAAAATACTATTATTATATATACAAATGGAAAAGGTAAAACATTACCTTCCCTTTCACCATGCAAACATATATCAGTAGAGCATTCCAAGAAGCTCAGTTGATGATATTATATAGGCTTATTAGCTTAGAAGTCAAGAGGGCCATTCCTGCACGAAACGCGTAAGTAAATGTCGCAGAAATTAAACTAATCATTTCCCAGGGCCATTTAAGAGCTAACCACTCAAAATTTTCTCCACAGGATTAAACTGTTTAATTCTATACTTAGGAAGAAGAATGAGAGTGAAAAGAGCTTACGTTGTGGTCTTGATTTTATCCCTTCTAATTGTGGATGAATCTTCCCCTTTTCTTCTTCCACCAGCTTCAGCTAATGTACTGGCCATTTTACCGTGGGGGTTAAGAATATTATCCAGAACCCTAAATTTTAGAAACATTTCCAGAGCATTAGCTAAACTGAGATCATTCTTGCGTTCCAATGGTGGTCGTCATCTTCGAATAGGAGACTTCGTCGACGGCATATCAAAGATTAAAGATTATTTTGACCTGTTCGGTTACCTGAATTCCGCTTTGAATTCAAACTCCACCGATGAATTCACCGCCGATCTCGAATGGGCAATCAAATACTTCCAGAAGACGTTCCACCTCAACGTCACCGGCCAACCCGACGATGCCACTGTTTCATTGATCAAGCTGCCGCGATACGCCCTTCCTGATGTTAACATCAATGGCTCCTCCGCTGTGCTGAAGAAAGAGCTTACTTATGCTTTTTCGCCTGAAAATGAAACGGCGGCGTAGTTTAAGGACGTCTTTGCGGATGCCTTTCGCCGGTGATCAACCGTGACGAAGTTGAAATTTTCAGAGACGACGTCGTTCGACGAAGCTGACATTCAAATCATGTTCTCAACGTTGGACGACGAGCTGGGAGTTGTCGGCGGCGTCTGGTTGGATAATACGACGGAGAGTCGGAAGGTCGTTTTGGACTCCGATGAGGAGTGGGTGTTGCCGAGCGAAGATTTGTCGGAGGACGACGAACTGGACCTCGAGTCAACGGTGATGCACCAGATCGGTCATGTGTTGGGGCTGAACCATTCGGCGATAGAGGAGGCGATTATGTACGCTTGCATCGTGCCATCGCCGAAAAGGAGGTGGATTTTGCTAAAGATGATTTGGAGAAGATTCAGCAACTCTACAGTTCGAAATAGTTGTTACAGGTGAGGTCTCCGTCGTCGGACGGTGGAGGAGCCGCCAGCGGCATAGGGCCGGGATGGAACCTGGGCTCAACTTTATGGCTTAATATGTGATTGGCTCTAAGCATACCCACTCTTCCCTTCAATCTTTAATAAATAAGCTAGTTCATTAATTCATAAAAATTAACAAATTAAATAAATTAGTTATTTATTAAAAATGAGTATCAATTTGCCTAAAATCTACTTTCTAATTATTTGTGTTGGAATTATCCTTGATAAAAAAACCTATTAACATATACAATAAAAAATGGATAGTTTTAAAAAATTATATGAGGAAAAATAATTAAGATATTACTCCTTCCGTTCCTTATTATAAGAGACATTTGATGCTTATAGCACGTTCCTATATATAAGAGACACTTAAAAGTTGTTTCTATTTTTTTGTGTTGATTTCTTATTTTACTCATATTTATTATCTCCAACTCACACTCTCTCTTCTTCTCACTTCTCTTTCTTTGAATAATTTATTATTGTTCTCTCTCATGCTCTCTCTCCTTATTAATGAGGGTCTTTTTGGAAAAAAAATTATACCTTTTATACATTGATTGTTCTTAACTAATTTTAACTGTTTTTTTATCAACGTAATTTGGTTATTCGTCTCTTATAATAAGGAACGGAGATAGTATATTGGTAAGAAGACAAAAGGCACCGTAATTATTTTTAAGTTTGTTATATGTTTATTGTCATTAATTATAAATATATCCTTTATTATTTGAATAGCAAAAAATGATCCATTGTTATTTGCTTTTATGTTGCAGAAGGGATAGGTAATTGTCTACAGCTCTTGGGCGACATTAATGATTAAACGTAAATAACACCTACCTTCCTTGTTTGGATTTTCTTCGGTAGTGTCATTTAATTTTTTGTTTGTTTTATCTGAGGTGTGAACTTCGAAGGCAAGCGGGTTCATAATTCTCAACCCCTTTTAAAAATTATGCGCAACATTTTGTTGACCAAATAAATATGTAACATTTTAGTTGGGAGGAAAAAATTGGGCCATGACGGACAACATTTTGTTGACCAATCAATAAAGGACACGAGTACAACACTGAGCGCGGCGTCGGAGTTGTTCACATGTGTTGGATTATAATGGCATATCAATGTCTACCATGATCAATTTAATATGTGATATGGGCTCTAATAAATAATTATTGTTAAGGTATATCCAGTCATCCCTTCAATGCTCAATAAATAAGCTACTTAATTAATCCATAAAAATGAAAAAAAATTATAGAAGTCAGTTATTTGTTAAAAATGAGCTTAGTTTGCCTAAAATATACTCTTTAATTATTTGTGTTGGAATTATTCTTGATGAAAAACCCATTAACACATATAATCGATATGTATGGTTTAAAAAAAATTATATATTTAGGAGATATGATGATTAAAATCTTGTATTTATAATTAAATTAAATCTAGCTTCCATATTTTGCGGGAAAAAAATTCATGTGAGGGATATACTGTACAATATTGGTATGAAGATAAAGAGGTATTGTAATTATTTTTAATTTTTTTATATGTTTATTACCATTAACATATCCTTTATTATTTACATAGCAAAAAATGATCCATTATTATTTGCTTTGTTGTTGCAGAAGGAATGGGTACTTTTTCTAAAACACTTGGGCGACATTAAACTTAAATAACACTTACATTCCATGTTTGGATTTTGTTCGGTTGTGTCATTTATTTATTATTATTATTTTTTGGGCTTCATCTTAAGTGTGAACTTTCGGAGGCAAGTGGGTTCATATTTCTTCCTACTATGTCATAATAGAAATAGAAATAATATGCATTATGGCGTCAATTCTTCGTCGAACAGATGAAAAAATTTCTATTGTTTGCATTATTTGTAATTATAATATTGCTATTACATTTTTTTTTTCAATAAAAAGACCAATTATAAATTATAAAAGAAACAAGTAAAATAAAAAATATAACGCGGAAAAGTTATTGGGCTCATTTCAAGTAAAACACAATACAAATCCATGTAAGCCCAATAATGAAAACAAAGAGTGGATTGTGGAAGTATAACAAAATATTCTACACCACCAATAGAGTTGAGTCTAGTAGAATGTGTTAATCTCTCACAACTTAATAAATAAAGGTTCAATATTCTTGTTAGGAGAGATGTCTATATTTAGTATCCGGAAGTGTCTTAAATAAAATTATCTCCAAAAAATAATACTTATGTGTACCCAAAATTTGGTGTAGTAGAGCAAGAATTAAACAAGGAGCCTGAAAGGCAATCCATCAACCACAACACTGCCCATTTTGTGCATATGGGATTGAGCCTTATTAAATTAGCCGAACCGAGTAGCCCAAGGTCTTTAAGAGCAGTCATGGCACTGCCCATTCTCTAGTTGTCACTGTTTCGTTGTGTCATATCCAACAGATACGAGCCCTTTTTAGCCGAAAGCTCGTTGAGGCCCAGCGAAGTAAAGCAAACCTCGTTCTTAGACTTCTATCACCGCGAGTCTCATTAAGACACTGTTTGGTATAGGGGAAATAGATGAGAGCAGAAAAGGAAAAAAAAAATTTAATGAGCTCTATTTAAAAATTGGAGAAGTGAGATTTTGAAATTTTAATAAACAAAAGAAGTAACATAAAAAAGTAATAAAAATTAATTAAAAGTTTCGAACCCCACTTTAGGGAAGGAACTTGTTGCAAACTTAAGGTAGATTGTAATGAAGGAGGAGTCATTTTCATTGAAGCTGATGCAGATGTTTGTCTTTACCAATTTGGTGACCTTCTTAAACCTCCATTCCCTTGCTTTGAAGAGCTTCTTTATAATGTCCCTGGTTCAGAAGGAGTCACTAATTGTCCCCTCTTACTCATTCAGGCCCTCTCATATATTTAGTCTTTTATTTCAAGCTTCATCAATTTTGTTTACTTCATAAGTCATCCTCAAAAAAGAGGGTATACTTATGCTGTCATTTTTGCTCTTATAAATGTTGGACTAGAATTATCTATACCATGACAGGTTTTACCTCAAATGCCTCCAAGATGTGCTAATGTTGGTTATGTTTTTTCCCCCCCTTTAATTAAGGTTACACATCTCAAGTGTGGTGGATTCATTTTCGCTCATCGCTTAAACCACACTATGAGTGATGGTCTTGGTCTTGTTCAATTGGTGAAGGCTTTAGCTGAGATAACACAAGGAGCTTGTGAGCCTTCAATCCATCCAGTTTGGTGCAAAGAGTTACTAAATGCGAGGGACCCACCTCGTATGACATGCCCCCACACTGAATACGATGAAGTGCCAAATAATGATGATGATGAAACAAGAAACAAAGACATGGTCTACGATTCTTTATTCTTTGGTCCTAACCAGTTAAAGGCCATTCATCAATTGTTCCCTCATCACCACCATCGTCAAAACTCTACCTTTGAAGTACTCACAGCATTCATATGGCGTTGTCGTACCATAGCTTTACACTTGAACCAGACAAGGAGGTTTGCTTAATGTGCAATAATAATGTAAGGAACAAAAAGTCGAACCCTCCATTGCTGCCACCGGCTTATTAAAGCAACGCTTTCGTGTTCCCGGCCATCGTTACCACCGTCGGGAAGCTCTGCGGTAACCCTTATGTGGGTATGCCTTGGAGCTGGTCAAGAAATCAAAAGCTATGGCAACAGTAAAGTACATACAATCTGTAGCAGATCTTATGGTTATGAGAGGACGGCCTAACCATATTTCCTCAAGGGCTTGGCAGGTATCAGATTTGACCCGTGTTGGTTTTAAAGACATAGATTTTAGTTGGGGTAAGGCAACATATGGTGGACTAGCAATGCTTGGTGTTGGAGACTTCCATGGAGTAAGCTTCTTCGTTGCCCATGGGAATGCAAAAGGAGAAGAAGGCATTGTCGTACCAATTTTCCTACCACGCAAATCTATGATGATATTTATCAAAGAGTTAGAGAACAACATGATAATTAGCAAACTTTGATAACTTACTAGATGGTGCTTTGTGCTTCACCTGGAGTTTAAAATGAGCCACTTTATGTATGCGTTTGTTTGTGTGTACCCATGTTTGGGTTTGAGTGTTCATAAGCATGAAGTTATGGACATGAGTACCTTTTAGATCATTGTTGTTTTCGGGGTTGTATTTTTATAATGCAATATATGCATGAAATAATGTATTGCGATCCTTGCTAGATAAGAGTTTATCTTACAAAAGTCAGCACACAAGGAGAGGAATGTATGGTAGCACCAATTTGCTTTCCAATCAAATCATGAAGATTGGAATGTTAGCATGAATATGCTATTGGTAGTAGTGTCCATATTTTTTCATGTTTATGAAGAGGCCAGTTTCAGATGCCCATTATGCCGTTTTTGAAAGGAGGACATGGGCTTGCTGGAGTATCCAGGAGCTGGGGGCCTCAGGATCCAGCACGCCCTTTTGTCAAGTAAAAGTAAAAACCTACCCTTGATCCATACTAGGAAAGGCGTGGTAATACTCCCTCCGGTATAAAATATAAGCTAATATTTGTTGAGAGGCTTGATTTTTTTTATAAGATAACATTTCAAATTTGTCTAACCATTTA